AGACTGCTCATCTTTTTCTTGAGGAGAAGCTGGTGGATTTGAACCACTTGCCTTTGGATTGGCTGTGTAACGACTTACCACTAAGGGACCAGAGCTCCCTTATAATACTAGCAATCCACCCACTTTACAAAGCTATTTAGAGACTTCTTGTTTAAGATGTTTGCAAGGGTGATCCAAAAATACACACACACAAGTCAGCAAACACTTTTAATGCATACACAAGCACATCAAAATTCTTTTCCTCAGTAAGTTGTGTCTACCAGTTGTTGCCAAGAGGGCCAACAGAAGCAAGATGGATTCCATCCTGAAGATTGTGACTAAGCTGATTCTGACTCAAAGTGGTCCTGCATTATTAGCAGGGCAGAACTGCACCCCCCCCCCCCAGCTTCCCGGGCTGTATCCTCGATGGGAGATTACCAGGTCTGTCCTCTCACAGACTGGCTGGTGAGGCTGAACTGCCTAATCTTTTGGTTAGCGTCGAGTGCTAATCATTGAACCGCTAGGACACCTTGATTCTGGAAGCTGCTGATCTAGAAAGAAGTCAAAATGGCCAAAAAAATTTAGGTCAAGGTGAGTTTATTGTCCAAATAGCATAACCTAATTGCATTCCAAAAAAAAAAAAACAAACCCAAAAAAACAAAACAAACACAACCCAAAAAACATTTTCAAATCCATCTTTACACTAATTAAAAGAACAGGTTATTATTTTTAAAATCACTTAACACTGAACAGATAAGACCTCTTTAAAAGGCAACTATTATCATCATGTCACAATCATAGCCAATAAAACCATTGTTTTCCATACTTCCTAAAAACCTGTTTATATCGGTCATGCTACTTTTTAGCACTTTCTAGCATCCCGACCAAATAAACACCCACACCTCTTAAAGAGTACATTGTGAGAGAATAACATTGACTTGATATGGCATCACTCTCGTTTAAAGCAAAAAAAAAAAATTTTAAAAAAGGGAAAGGAAAAAAGTTAAGAGATAAACAACTGTGTAACTGAGAAAAGAGCAAGAGATCTGAGGTACATGGTAAAAGATAATGAACATATGGCCTGGTGATCTGCTGGGGACGTAAAGAGTTGGCCAGTATAGTATTACAAAACAAAACCCAAGAACTAAACAAAAAACAAAACAAACCCAACCAAACAAAAACAAAAATGCTAAACAAACCACAACAGAAAAAGATTAAGGACAGGCACCTGTCGAAATACATTGGATACTGTAATGGCTACAGTCAGTAAGGCACTTTTCTCTCCACATTAGGCTGCTGGCAAAGGAGTCAGTTGCAGCCACAGCACGCATGTGTATGTTTGTTGATGGCATCTTGAAACCTGAGCCAAGAGTGGGGTCTGATCGCCCAGCCAAGTTGAAAAGCAGAGACACACAAATGTAGAACAGTCCTGACTGAAATGAATATCCCGGGTTGTTTAGATCCAGAATCATGGAAAGTCATGTGGTCTAAGGAAGTAATAAACATCCTCTTGAATCTTCCTGCCCTGTTTTGTACAAATGGATGGCTGCCTGGATATATAGCTCTCGACAACTCTCCGTCCAACTCCACGGCCACAGAAGCCTGCACGCCTTCTATCCCTACCGAGAATCTGCTGGCTTAGGGGGACTTCACCGTCTCAGCACTAATTTCCCTTTTAAAGCTATTCTCAGGGTTGGACTGACTCAAAGATAAACAAAGAGGAATCCTTTTGGCTTAGAAGCCAACTGGCTTACTCAGACTTCCTCCTCATTCTTATATTCCCATTCTCATACTACCAATATCATCTTCTTGAACTAGAAAAATCACTATTTACATGTGATAAGGTGCAAGTCTATTTCTTCTCCCAGCCCTGCCCCCTATGGCCCATGGAGAGAAAATTCCTCTGTCCTCTTTGAGAAAGTCATTCAACCCAGACTAACGTCCTTATCCTGTCCGACCCAGAGATGCCAGGGCCACAAGGCAAGGCTCCCAGGAAGGCTCTGCTTGTGTTGGACAGAAGGAAAGCTAGAGGTTCTTCTGAAGCATCTTGCTAGCAAGGGGATGCACTGTGATGCACACAGGGTGCTTCCCTTTCTGGCTTTGCCACGCAAGACCTTGCTGGAGGCCACAGCCTCCAAGCCAAGAGTGTTCCTGACTTAGCTGAGCCAAGAGGCAGGACAGAGCCTCTTACATAAAGATGACCCAGTTGTAGGACCTGGTCCTGGGCAGTTCCAGAATAAAGCTTCCCCCAAGAGCAGCCCCTTTCTCTCAGGAGCTCGAGTCTCAGCAAATGTGAGGCATTCTGCTGAGGGAACAGACCCTTGCTTCCACCTGCAGGCTTCTCGGCTGTTAGGAACCTGCATGGGTTTTACTTATACTTGGTATTGCTTTTTGGCATAGTTAGATCTTCCCCCTAAGGTAGGATTTGGCCAAACTAGGGGAAGGAATGAAATTTGGCAGCTAGGGGAACAACTTAGTGGCCCTCCCCCCCCACCATTGATGGAGAAAAAGAAAATAAAAACCAGTAATGGAAAGAGTAGAAATAAAAGAGAAAGGTATGAAGGAAGAGTGAGACCAGAATAGATATGGGACTCTATTAAGTGGCAAGTGAGAAAGAAAGAGAAACTAGAGAGAGGTTCAAAGCCACAGAAAGAACTTAACCCCTCTGGGACAGAACCTCCTATGGGGAAACCAAGATCCAAGAAGAGGGGTCATTTAACAAAACCAGAGCTCCTCCCATTGTTTAAGCAGAAAGCAGGCAGAAAGCCAGTCTGCCCAGCACCCATCTCCATTAACAAGCCTACACCTCCTACTACACCAGACCCCAGAGGGTTTGGGAGAACAAAAAGCAAGAAGACCTTAGTGACAAAGGCAAAGTGGAAAGACTCATGCCACAAGGAGCATCTAGGAGGCCTGTTTCCTTCTCTATTTGTCAGGTTCTTTCATCCACTGCTTCTGATTGAGCTTAGCGTTTGGTCACTGTTAAGTATATCTGCACCTCATTTCTTCTTAGGGTCGAAGACACCCAAGTATGGACTCTGTGGTGCCCAGAAGAAGAATGTCCTGTGCAAAGTAAGCCCTTGATTTAAAAACAAAGTAAAACAAAACACAACACAACAAAGTTAAATGACTGACCAGCTGCTCAGCTTTCTTCTCCAAAGCTTTAAAATTCACCACCCACTGTCCCACCAGAAATTCCCTAGAATTCCAGGGTCATGCTAACTCACCAAAACCTGAACCTTCAATTTCTAAACACCCTTCAAAAGAGACTGACTCATCTGGAAGTTATTTTTGCAGAGAGGCAGCCTCTCCAACTCCTTCAACTACTATCCACTACTCATCAAACTTTTCCTTCCTATCACACTAATTCAATGCCATTCAAAACCTGGAAACCTCTTAGTACCGCTTTTAACAGAGGACTTGGCCGTGCCAAGTGCTTGCCATCATCAAAGACAGAGGTGAAAAGAAGGACTCCGCACAAACGCTGCACGCTAGCCTCCCATACCTACAGATTTTGAGCCAGGAAAATGTCTGAGATTATCCTCAACGAGGGGTTTTCATATCAGGGAAGGGGAGAGAATGCAGGGAAACTTCCAAGACGAAAGGGCCCTAAACAGTCAAAAGCCCTGCTTTTGAATGGGCTGCAAAGAGGGTCTCTTTACTAGCTGCAATTCTTTTTAATCTGTCTCCTTCGTGCAGTATTATGACTTCCTAAAATCCACTGCATACAAAGTTTGTGCCGAAGATCTGCCTTAGTGGGATCCCTTGGTTCAATGTTTGTTTTTTTTCCCCATCATGAAGAGGATACCGGAATCAAAACAGGAGTCGGATGGCCTTCATGACTGGAAAGGTCCCCAGGTGTGAGACCCAGGGCCAAGTCCACTCTGCCTTCCACTTGCGAGGAGGGCTGCCTCCTGCCACCTTCACTATTTCCCATGCTAAGAGACTCCCAAGCAGGAACTACATGGTTGTGAGGTATAATAAAAAGAAAAATGTGAATCATTTTCTTTTGTAGTTATTGATTTTGTCCAGTAAACCTGAGGTAAAGAGTACTCTGTCTTTGAAGAACGTGATCAGAAAATAAAAATAAAAAATTAAAAATGGAAAAAGGAAATAAAAACCAATAACATGAATATGCTACCAGAAGAAAACAAACTATGAAAGGGCTTTTCCAGTACAAAGAAACTCAAATCTCAACCACCTACTTCAGGACTTGGAATTTAAGCAGTAAAATAATATATTATAAAAATGTTTATAAAATAGCAGCACACTCTGTGAACATTACAGCTAGGTACTGTTAATGTGAATAAGGAGGAATCTTAGCTTTGTAGCAGCGCAAAAAAAAAAAAAGGAAAAGAAAGAAAAATCAAAACTAAACAAAAACGGAACAAAATAAAATAAAATGCAAATAAGAGACCCTTACAATTTCTTCCATCTTCAACCCTCATACTACAAAACAAGGCAGAATTGGTTTAATTCTTCAATGTAGCCCTGTTCTGATTTTTCTTTAAAAGGCAAAAATTTTAACAAATAGCTTCATTACCTGGAAATTTCAACTGTGCAAAACTTGAAAATAAAACAAACACAATGTTGTTTTTGCTCCAACCTCTTTGCTAACTGAATGTCTCCAAGAAGTGGAGAAGGGGGAAAAATTCAAGTACACTGAATATGCCTTTATAATAAAATTAACAGAAAAATAGAAAAGGGAACAGAATGCCACACCTGATGTTCAGCTGTTTGTCTTTTGCACCAACAATACTTTTTCTTTCCATGTCTAAAGCAGGATACAGGGAATGAAGATCCTTCTAGAACATCAAAATGGGAAGAGATCTTTGCTTTTAGCCTTTTGTGAGGAATGTTGTGATGGGAATGTCAGTGGAAAGGAGTGCCTCTTGCGTTCTGGCAGGGATTCCAGAATTAGGTTCCAGAAAATGTCAGATACCAGAAGTGAATAGTAGCCCAGACTGGGAGAAGAGGGGAAGAGGCAGAAGAAGATGGGGAGGAGTTGATTCAGCATGATTTGCATAAACCATCCCATTTATCCCGTGGGAACAATTTTTCAAAGTGCTTTTCGAATGGAATGGTTTATAACAATGCTAAAACTGTTGTCCAGACATGTCAATCAGCACCAAAAATTAGATTTTCCTAGTAAGGGATGCCAAGGTCACACGATCCTCATAAAAACAAAAATAATAAAAAGATTGCATTCTAGATCCCACCCTTGGCTGCCTCCTTTCTTATGAATTTTTTATTATGGCCCAAAGCTAGGTTCCCCCATCAGATAAAAATATGGTGGTGTCTGCAATGAACCATATTTGGAAGAAGAAGCAGGATGTCAAGAAATCTTAAAATTTGGAAACCAGCCAACCACCTATGTTCAACTGGCAAAATAAAGCATTTTTTTTTAGGTAGCAGCTACTGTTGACAGCAAGAGTACACAGAGATCCAACACTTTGGACTTACAACAGGTGGCTAGGAACAAAGGCACTTCTACATCCAAAATGGTTCAATCATGTTGAGCAATTGTTTTACGCTCCCTCCCCATCATGTCCCTCTTTGTCTAATTCCTTCTTGAGTTCATTGCTTTGCAATCCAATCAAGCCATAAATGGCATACACAGTTCCTTGAAATTATACTAAAAGGGGTGTATAATGCACTAGTTCATAACATGAAAAAAAAAGGTCTCTTCTATTTGTTCCCATATTGCAGGCGTACAATTTCTCTAGCTACTCTGCAGGCTTTCCTGAAAGCATTTTACTATTACATTTACACAATCAAATAGTAATTGCTCGCATATATAAGGGATTCCCTTCTGTTGTACTTGAAATAGGCACCAAATGCTTTTTATTATCCTGTTATTATAGAACCCTTTTCTCTCACTTCTAAAAGATGTTTAAATACCATCTAAATGGGGGGAGAATTTTTTTTTTTAAGTTTCATCCTAAAACACAAAGAACAAAATACAACCAGAGGGAAGGAGAGAGAAGATTATGACCGCGTCTCTCCCCCAGGGCCGTCTGGCATCCTCACAGGTCAATATCCCGCACGTCTGTAGGAGTGGCGGCTTGATCCAGTTCATCTTCCACCTTGCCGCTGTCTCGCTGGTCTTGACGGAATTGCTGCAGGCTGTTGAGAAGCACTGCCTCAATCTGCTCCTGGCAGGCTTTGAGACAATCCTAGAAGGGAGAATAGCCCAAACCACAGCGGTTAGCAAGATGAGCAGCCTACAGAGACTTGTATGATGCACATACACTCAATGCAAGCCTCACATTATCAGTTCAGAGTCTTCCAGCAGCACCCGATTCCTCACTTAGTGACTCAACATTTTACCATAAATGGTAACGGACTAGCTGATTTAAAAAAATCTAAAAAATTCAAACTCATTAATGTGGAGTCTGAACCAATTCGTACTTGACCTTCCAGCAGGTTTCTGAGGCCGTACAAGACACCAGAGAGGAACAGCTTTCCAGTGAGGGGAACAGCTTTCTAGTGAGGCGCAGCCTAACTCCCTGTGAATGAGGTCACCTGTTCTGCACAATTTTTACAATGTTTACTTGCAGTAACAAACACAAGGCAGAGAGGAATGCTGGCTGTGATTGCTGAGTTTCTCAGTGGTTTAGCAGCTCCATAAAGATATGGTTTGGCAGTTCTAATTGATGAAGTCGCCCTTCTTTTGGTGACCTGATGCGGTCTTCCTCCATCTTCCCCATAACTTGGTCCTTGCAGCCCTAGCTACATAAATGAGGAGAGGGAATACAAATAAGTGTGAGGTAAGGGAGATGCATTCTGACAGTATACTGCCTTCCACATATAACAAAGGAGGGCTCAGTGGGCCAACAGCATCAGCACCACCTGGGAGCTTGTGAGAGAGAGAGACTGAGCCTTTAAGCTTAGTCTAATCAGGACGTGCATTTTCAGCAGGACCCCAGGTGATTTACAGCATGTGCGAGCTTGAGTGCACGGGCCAAATATAATCTACTGAAGCAGGGACTTAGCACTGCCTGGTATTCAGTGAATCAACCAGCAGGGAAAAGTTAGGTGACAGTGAAAAGATGCTACAGCAGTAAACAAATTCAGCGTCAAAGGAATAGGCAAGAAAGAAAGGAATGGGCTAAAATTTATGGTTTCTCACATAAAATGTGTATGTGTTGTAGTTTGTTGGTTTTGTGGATTTTTATTTTTTAACTCCTGGATTCCTTATTTAGCAGGTAACACAAATGGTCTGTATGGACTAAGAAGAGCCAAGTCAAACAAGGATGAAGGGCTCACTGCAAACACAAAGGTTGATGGTTCCAAACTACCAATAGTTTTGTGAGAAGAAAGACCTGGTAACCCACTTCCATGATGATCACAGCCTATAGGGCAGTTCTACACTCTGTCATAGCATCCCTAGGATTCAGAAGTACAACACAACTAACCTGCAGTTGGCGGTTCAAACCCATCATGGGAGAAAGGCCTATAGATCTGCTTCCCTGAAGATTACATCCAAGAGAACCCTCTTCTGTAAAACAAGGCATTTCCACAAAATTGACTTGATCACGGTAAGGAGCTGTTCTATTCTGAATTCTCTTAAGGTTCCATGGGTGGTGCAAATGGTTTGGACTCAGCTACCCACTGATGGACCTGTGGTCTCAACCCATCTACTGGTACTACCAAAGACAGGCATGGGGCTCTACTTCCATAAAGATTGTCGTCAATGTGCCATCATGTCAGCACGGACACACAGCTGACCCTTCAGAGGGTTTTCAGAGGCAGCAAACTGCACAGGACGAGATTGCTCATCTTTCTCCTGCATTGTAGCTAGTGGATGGCGAAGTCAAATTGGGTTCCTCTGAGCTGGCAGCACAGCACCACACCACTCAGGTACCAAAGCTCCAGTCTGATCCCAGAGGTGCATGGTTCAAATCCACCAGATGCTCTGCTGAAGAAGGAGGAACAATCGCCTCCTGTACCAGTCAGATCCAATTTGACGGTACACACATAAAAAACAAACAAACAAACAAAAACAAACAAAACAAAACCAAAGCTCCAGTCTGTAAAGTTTACAGCCAAGAAAAATCCTACTGCACAGTTCTGGCCTGTCACACGAGGCGTCACTAAGAGTATGAAGTGACTTGATGGCAACCAGTTTGGTTTTTTGGCACTTCTGGTAAAAATGCAACACTGCATGTTTACAGAATTCTAAGCATTGGAATTATTCAGTTTGGGAACAAGCAAGAATGTACAGCATTGCCCTGGTATTAGTCTATATTTGGTGGGGAAAATTCAGACTGTGTTTACTTCAGGCAGAAGCATCTGTTAGTTGGATGATGTGGAATGTAACGACCAAGTCATGGTATCACCAGGAAGGGACCATGGGCCACATTCCCAAGTAGGGTTCAAACTAAAGAAACTGCTCTTAGTAGGCAACATGTTACCTCTCCCCCTTGTAAAATTTTTCTGCACTTCATTAAATAGCATATACATATGTGTAAGCCGTATCACACTGCATCTCCTCAGCCCTCATCAATTTTACATGTCCCTCCTTTTATTTTTATCAAAATTTTCCCTCACTTGCCTAAAGACTGTATGCCAAGCACAAACTCATTATCTTTATTTTCCAAATATCAAAAATAGAGCTGGATTGAACTACTCAAGGTGAAGAACAGCGGCATCAAAGATGAAGGTTAGAGGGGAACTACCATCTAGAATCCAAAAATGATGAAAAAATATTTGCTTCCAGTCACCTTTCTTGGGGGTCAGAAGCTAACATATTTAACATGGTAAGGAGTTATACTGCCAACTCAAAGAAACATTAGTCAATTTCACCAACTGGCACACAGAAAAAAGATAGGCAGTCTCCTCCAGCGAGATTTACTGCCACTGTCAAGCTATGAGCCAGCTCTGACTCGATGGTACATAATAACAATCTCAATTTAAGGACTTGTGGTGAGATAGTGGGTTACGTATTGAACTGCGAACCAAAAGGTAGGCAATTTGAATAAACCAGTGACGCCATGGGACAAAACAAAAACAGTGTCCTCCCATTAAAATTTAGCCTCAGAAACTCAATCATGGGTTGGCATCCACTCCATGGCAATGGATTTTCCTAGATAAACTCAATGTGGAGTTCTTAGATGTGCACGGTTAACGTGCTCCGCTGAGAACTAAAAAGCTGGTGGTCTGACGGCTGCCCAGAGGTGCCTTAGAACGCCTCCCAAAAAATTAACCCCTGAATATCTTGTGGAGCCCAAGTACCTTGAGGCAGGAGCGTGTGGTACACCAGGAATGAGCAGAACATTTTACTTAATGTGGTGGCGAGGTCTTCCAACATGTCCTCTTCCTTGAGACAGATTAACACCCGTTTAGTACTATTCTAGGTTTCCCTCAAAGCATACCCATGTTCTGTGAGACAGTGAAGTAAAAATGTGTGGGTGTGCCTGCTACTAAGTGAAACCAACCACATAGTTCTATCCTTGTCCCAGGACCTCCTAATTCTCAAAACTGCATGGGATGGACGGGGAGGAAGAAGACTCCACCTCAAATCGAGCCAGGCTATTACGGCATGCCTCTGAGAAAGGGACACCGTGGGGGTCGAGCTGGGAGAAGAAAATCGAAGGGGAGAGGAGTTAAAGAGCCTGATGAGAAGAGGCAAAGCTGCAATAGTGGGGGTCACAGTCCTTCACAATAGGGAGCAGCATTAAAGACAACACAAATAATCACAGAGTGGTCAAACTGAGGGGCCGGTCAGTGGGGCCTTTGGAGAGGAAATAGCTAACTGTGTTCATTTACAAGGGAGGGCACTGAAGCCGGAGAAGTGCGGCAGCTAGCTGTGCCATTTATACCTCGTTCAGAGCTGAACTCTCCCCACACAACTCAGTCCCTTCCGGGCTCTAAGTAGAGACATATAGGGCAAAGCAGCTCTAAGGAAAGGAGCCAGCCCCAGTGGCCAGAAAAAAAATGCCTGGCGCCTCCAATGAAAAGATGCTACGTGCATGTAAAGTGCAGCGGCTCGGGGACCTCTGCTTTCCGGCAGCCTCCAAAAGCACCAGCCATTGTGTTAAGATGCCCCAAATTAAGCTGATTAAAAGGAAAGCCATAATGCTCGTCTGTCAGCCCGGACAGGTGGCACTCCACAGCGCTGGAGGTCGGGCAAACCTCCAACTTCTAGGATGATAGGCCCCCTCCCCGGGCCCCCCCTCGCCTGCTGCCCCTGTCCACCCCCCTAGCCTCCGAGCCCTGACAGCAGTGTTTGTGATCTCCAGCTCGTTACACGGGCCTCTGACTTCCTCTGCTTGCTGGCTCAGGCTCCGAGCCCTGCACCCTCCTCTGCCTCCATGAATGGGCTGACGGAACTCCTACCATTAGCCCTCAGTGTAACTGCATCACTCCATTGTCACCACACACGCACTGCACTCAACGGGAGAATAAAGGCCTGAATGAACCCCAGACCCGCGGCCAACTCAGGCAGAGACAACTTAGGAAACTATCTCATTCTTCCTTTCTTCACAGGCTCTTTGGCTTATTTCCTTGCATACAGAATGAGACCCACTGAAAAAATGAGGCAGGAGAGGGAGGCATCAGCCCCCAAATCTATTCCATCCACCTCCCCACCCCCAGCTTCCCTTCCAGCAACTCTTCAAAGGTTCTTGACCACAGGGCTTATAGTTCTACAAAACATAGCATCAGTTATGGAGGTGCCTTTAGAGCAGGGTGTGTGGACGCATGGGGGGCCTGGTGCTTTTCTCTACGGACAAAAACATCACAGTGGGCCCCTATGGATTGCACGTAGCCAATAAAAATTGTGACTTCTAACACTGCACTCCTAATTGGCTTTTAATAATGAATGGAGCATCAAAATGCTAAAATGCCAGCATGTCCCTAAGGAAAAGACCTCGTGGAATATTCTTGGGGGATATTTAAAATGGGACAGATTTTTATTTTATTTAACTCAAATGGAGAACAGGTTAAGATGACTAGATGTTAAGAACTTATGAAGCTGAAGTAGCTGGTTTACATACTTACACAAAGTAGTTGGTGGGATGATTTAATAAGAGAGGAAAAAAGGGAACAAAATGTAAATGAAGGGCTGGCTGAAACAGTGTATATGAATCACAAAAATTAACAAAAAACGCTCATCTAGATGATAACATAATTATGATAAAAACAGAAGGGGGAAAATATGGGAAGCCAATAC